CTTGATCAGAATCAAATATTCATTTATACTAAAGGCAGACAAGAAATAATTCCCCAGCTGAGCAAGTCTGATTTGCTTTTGGTAGGAAATAGAGGGGAAGGCAATGTTTATTTTTGCATCAAAGAGACAGAAACTATGCACACAGCCGAAAACACATGCCTAAAATCCGCCAGAAAACCATTGGGATGAGGTAAGTTCGGCCATTATTACTACAGACCGACCAGAAATAATTCCCCAGGTAGAGCGAAAACTCGCCTGAATGAAATGAACTTATTTACTTCAATTACACAGAAGACAGGAGGGGGTTGTTTCTTAAGCCAAAAGAAATTCCGATTGAAGTCGTTCCGTTGCTTGAAGGGAATGAGCTCATTTCAGTCATTTATCCCAAAGACTAAACAAAAGTATTTATCGCACTGAACAAAAATTTGCTTGAAATCTGTCATGAAACCGATGGAATGAGTCCAGTTTGGGCACCGTTACTGAAGACCGACCAGAAACTAACCTCCAGCTAAAAAATTCGTCTTAAACTGATTTGAAATCAACGGAATTAGGCTAATTTAGTCATTTATTTCAAAGACAGTCCAGAACTAGTTCTCCAACAGCAACGGGAAACTGGTCAACTTTGGTCATGAATTCGATGTGATGAGCATGGTTTGGTCATTTCTACAAAAGCCAAAGCAGAAGTAAATCTTCATCGAGACGAAAACTCGACCCAATGTAGTCACGAATTTGATGGGATGGGTAATGTTGAGTCATTTATAGCAAATCGCAACCAGATTTCCTCCCAACTGTTTCAATGCTGCGTGTGTGAGCGATTGGCCCGAATCTTGTCAATCTACCGACCAGACAATCAACACATCACATCCACTTCAGAACAGATTGCCCTATCGATTGCTCTATGGACACAGACGTGTGAGCAACGAGGTGAAGGTTGAGACCAGAGGCCTTCTTCATCCAAGTCATCCACCCACAGCTTACTTCACACACTTGGACACTTCTTCACGGCTAGTTGGAGGAACTGCTGTTTGGCCTTCGACATGGAATGAGATTATTGGAGCTGAGAGGGGATCATTTGATGGGCAACTGACGCAATCTCAGTTGTCCAAACAGTCAATCAGCCAGTAATGCGGTAGTAAGGGTGGAGGAAGAAGAGAGTGCAGCACGGTTTCTAGGATGCCTGCAAGAATGCCACAAAAGTGTTGACCACCTCCAGTACAAAACCTGAGCAAAAGCATTTCTCTGTTGTTGTGGACACAAAATGTATCCTTTGGAATGAAGGTGCGGCTGAAGGTTGGCGGCCACAGATAAGGTCAGAGGACTTACCCACAACACCAATTTTCTGGCTACCTAAATATCCACAACTTTAGTTCTCCGCCTATCTGGTTCCCTTCCACTCCAATTTTCCACCTCTCCACAGCGCTAGTTATCTACCTACCATACTTCCTCCTAACAATCTGCTTCGCAACCTCACCTGCTTTCTAGCACTCACCTCTCCGAGTTCTCCATCTAACTACCTCACTCATGCTACTTTCCCGGTTCCCTTCATCTCTACAATAGTCAGATCGTTCATATCCAATCTCCTCTCTGCATTTCGAATTCACCGCATCCCATAACTTCCACAATTATAGACCCCTCCAGTTGTCTACCCATTAGCCCCTCTTACACTCCATTTATCTGGCTTTGCACTTCTCCGCCTGTATAGATATCCACCCAATTTCCTTCCCACGATGTAGATTCTAGTAATTCTGACACAGCAACGCGCATCACTTCTTAACTCAAGCACAGACACGATGGAAGGGATGGACATGACAGTTGGCCTAGCTGGTAGGGCTGGTCGCCGCAAACCCCTACGAAGACAATGTTGCCTATATTAATCCACCTCTTAAAAGCGACCCAGTCAGGCGAGACAACAATTCCATGCCACCTCCACACCTCTCCAAATTAGCATGTCGCCAACACCTTCTGCCTCTGCACTCTGCCCAGCCGATCTCCTACAAACCATCCAAGTGATTAATCCACCTATCGCTGTCAATAAAGCAAGACAAATATAAAGAGACAGTAACGTTTTATTTGGCTATGGAAGAACAAGCAACACTCCAGAACCGGATGGCTCACAACTGACACGCACATCTACTCTAGCATTATTGCGATTACTCTATGTATTACCGAGGTTGACATATTTCGAAGGCGCCGAATATGCAGATATAGGTCTTCCATTTTTCATGTTACAGACAGCAGAGGCAAACGTGAACATTGAACACCTCTTCATCCCCCGGCCTTCCAAAATGAGCCAATGAAACGGACAACCTCCATCAAAGTAAAATTTGTTGGCGCATTTTTAATTAAGCTTAATGACAAATTGACGGTCCTAGTAGTGCTTCCATTCAATGACCTCTCTATTTTACACGACAAATGCTTGGCAGAACTCACTCTTCCACAAGGTGAAATTGGGTAGTGAACGTGGCGTAAACCTGAGCCCCTCCATTTGCGTGTCCACATAAAACCTACACTTAGGTAGCGTCCTAAAGCGAGTCATTGTAACTTTGAGAGTAGTAAGGACCAGTCAAGGATGTGAGCTAAAGCATCGCAAAGGTATCTTGCATACGATGGTGTGCTATTTTTCTATGAGACGGAAAGCGCCCTGAATGATCACCAAGGCAACCGGTTTCTGGCCCTGTCATGGCACGCCTGCAGATGGACGACTAGAGGGTGTAGGGCGAGGGAAGCCAGAATTCAGAATCCGTATATAAGACGTGATGACTCATTACATGTCGTATGAGGTCACGAGGTCACCACATGTGATGTTAGACCAAGCCAAACCACATCCCGATGAGTCATATCACCATTCTGATTCAGTCCTTCTCTTCGGCTGATACTGATGCTGAGATGGGGTCATGGGGGGTTTCCTACGTTTACACATCTATGCGTATTCCAGTGCGAGTGGAAGCAGGAATGGAGGAGTTGTCTGTGCAGGGGTGTAGTTTGTGTTGTAGTCGATCTGACTGTGCACTACTTAGGTGCGAATCAGGTTGGGGACGGACACTATTGCAGAGCACACCCAACACCTCATCCTCCAACTTTGAGTAGGAACACAGCCATACCCAAATTGACACGAATGCCACTACGGGCCACATTCACATCATCTGCCTCATTCATCGTCCACCTGTGCAACGAGTGATCGGGGCCAGTGGGAGAAACGTGGTGTGATGTACGCTAGCACTGCATGTGTATGAGTGCTGCAGGATTTGGCAACTTTATGGGCATCATCCCACCATTCATCATGACCAAAGGGAGGAATGTGAATAACGATGGTACTTCAAGCTAATATCACGACGAAATGACCGATGAAGGCTGTGTGGCTAAGTCGAACAAAAGTTTGATTAGCTGGTCAACTGAATGATGAAGACATGTTCACGAACGCATCAGGATGGATAGAGTGGGCAACGGCAACAAAGACAGCAAAGGCAGCATGAGCAGGATGTTCAGAGAAGCGGTTTGGAGGTGGCATTGAGTGTGGCAGGGCAACCAATCTGATCGGGTAGTATGAGAATGGCATCCATGGACACGTCTCTGCTTCTGGGTACGATAACGTTCGTGCATTCGAAAGCCCCTATTCGTAGGCGAGCATTGTATTTTCCTATGAAGAGCGATGAATTAGAGGAGTGGCAGTTTGATTAAGTGGACATGTTTGGCATGCGATAGGATGGAATCTTCATTTCACTTTATCATTCCACCCTCTGCTCCAATGCTCCATCAGTCAATTCCTTGCCCTAGACATCACGAGGCAGTCTGATCGGTCCTGACACCGCTGCTACAATACCATCCTTTTCAAAGAGGTGTTC